TAATCTTATATCCAGACAATATTCATAGAAATCTGACTGAAATCTCGATCGACGTCAAATATTCTTCCGAACGAAACGCAAGCGTGCCCCGGGGTCGTTTTTCCCGTTCATGTATTCCTGAAATAATTAACTTTCATTAAACGACGGGGCGATAAAGAACGTAAAAAGCGTTGCTTTTTTACAGCCTAACAATAAGAGAGGCGTTGGGGCGGGGACGGTTTATATACGTAGAGCTGTTTGCAATGCCAAAGACTGGATTATAAAACAGCACGACGGGCCGGGCCGGGTAATAAAGTGGTGACTCGGGTAATAACGCGCGGCGATATTCCTCTCTGTGTGTCGCGGTTATTTACAGGCAAAACACAATTACCACACCTTTTCTATTATTACGCCAGGGGAGGCGGAATTATACGACGAGAGGCTCTTTTTTATTTTGAGTTCGTGCGCCAGAGTAGGCGAATGAAATCGTAAAACTTTGAAGTTTCAGCAGCAGCGAGTTGAGCCCCCGCAGATTAGATCTTTGAAAATTCTCACTGTCTCACGCTAAGATCGCGAGCTGTTCATGTTCACAAAGCATTAATTCTTTATTTATTTTACTCTTAAGTAACTTGGGTCACACGTTACTTCTCGCTTAAAATTTTGTGACGCAAAAAGGGTGAAAATTGGGGTGTTGTGATTTTTATCTCAATTTTTTTTATATTAAATGGGCACGGTTTATAATTTATGTTCTAACCAAAATGCGCTTACTTAATAGGTTGAAAAATTCATAAAATTTTCTCTCCAAAACAAAAGACGAGTGATTTTATTAAATTAATAATATTCATGATATTTTAATTTTTTTTAATTTATTCATCTGTATTTTTACAAACCAGAAAAATCTCCTGCTTTTCAGCTAAAATCCTGTTTTGCATCTTTATTTATTATTCATGTCTCTGGAAAAATGCTTCCCTTTTTTGTTCGGAATGAATGCAAATGGCCAATTATTTCCACCCGAAACGTCTCAACTTTGCTCTACGCAGACGACGCCGTCAGAATTTGTATTATTTCGTCCCTTGCTCTTGTCAGGTGGGCAAAAGAACGCCGTCGGCAAGCATTAAGGCCCGATTCCGCTTCGTTTGAGGGTAAATAGCTGCTATTTAGGCCACCAGCGCCCCGCTAATCGAATGCACCCTTGCCGGCGGACAAGCCTGCACGTTTTCCTGACGGCAATTTAAATTCTAATTTAGCATGTTGTGTACTACTGTGCACGGCCAGCGAGAACGGGAGAAAAAAGCAAGGCAACGATTTCAACTGCAACGGACAACCCCACGAATAAATTACGCCACTGCTAATGCAACGACGCACATTTTTCCTCCTTCCGAACACACAAAAAACAGGGGGCGGAAGCGCGAGTTTAGAAGGAAAAGGTCATGACACGAAATTTCCAGCTTAACTTTCTGTACCGGAAATGGAGCTTGTTTTCCTCTCATTTCAAATTAATGTAGATTTATTCAAATACGGAGAGGGCAAAAAATTAGACTGCATTGCTCAATGGCAAAAGAAAACTTTAACCCCAATATTTTTTTAAATATTCAAAATTTTAACAAAATTTACTAATTTTCATCTTGTTCTTATTTTGCTATGTATTAATGTTTAAAGAATAAATTTATTTTGTTTTAATTTTAATTTTTTTGTAATTTTAGAAAAAAATATTGCGATAGGATTACTTATAGTTCAGTAAAACTACTGTTTATACAAATATTAATAAGATATAATTATTTCTATCTCATCTTCTCAATGATCTCTATGTAAAGTAGCAAATTACTACATCCATGCTTGCTGAATTTAAAGTCAACATTTATAAGACATGTAATTAGAACTAATTAGAAAATTTGAAATTCAATAATCAATTAGCAGTGAAAAATTAAAATGAATTTATATTCCCAATCATTTCAAAAAAATTGAAATATTGATCTGTCAAATTTTCACATGTACAGGTATCTAGATGAATGTGATTTTTTTAAATAAATCTCGCACAAAAAATGGACTCCATATTTACAGACCATCAATCACTCCCGCACGTGGCGTGCCTTTGACCCGAGCAGGGATAGAAGTGGCGCATGAATTAGCTTCTCGTTATGCAGTTGGTGTTGCAGGGCAGGCAGGGGCGAGATGACAAATTAATCTGGATGCACCTGACTGCAGCGGCACCATATTTTCATAATAATAAGCTTGGAAATGCACACCAGGAGTGCGCGAGTATAATAGCGCATAAATTTGAAAAGTTTTATCTCGTGAATATTTCAGAGAGCGACGGGCGAAGTTTGTTGTGTGTTTACATGAAAGAAGACTGCCGGCAATTTTTCGTCCAGATAAAAAGCAGTCAGTGTCGTCGAGCGCCCTTTTCTTCTCTGGATTATCGCGTATTAAACATAACGCGTGACATGCACGAACTTTAAAACTTGGCTTTGTGAATTCTTCGAGGACGGAAATTAAATTTAACTTTACAAATGAAACCGGCGGTTAATTATCAGCGTCTGCAAACAGCAGACGTTTTTCTCGAATCTTGTATATTTTTTCCTCCCAGAAATTGAATTTCAAATTATGCCGCTGGCTTCTCTGCAGCTTTTTAAATTTGCACTGCGTCTCTCTCGAGGCAATTAATTTTCCTTAATATGTTTGCTTGCTTCGGATGTAATTTGCATGAGCATCGTGCGCTGCTTTCGGTGTTTGCACATGAAATGGCTGCTGAATGCACATAATTAGACGCGGCGAGACGACTTTTGCGAGCGGCCGGATTTATCTCAGTTTGCTCCGATTCTTTTGGCGCAGTGCTCGTTTGCTTTTTTACCAGAGCAGCACTAACCCATTCATCTGCTAAACAAATACAGCGGGCACCAACCATGAGTAAATTTCCTGAATTTCAAATAAAATAAAAAGTATAAAAATTAAAAGGATCTTCAAATGCAAATAAAGGTCTCTGATTCAATATTTAAATATTAAAACAAAACATTTGAGTTCATATTCAATATTGATAAATATTGGTAAAATTTTAAGAAAAATTTGTAGAGTATGAGGCTCAAGATAATTAATGCTAAAATCTGCAACGTTAATTTATGTGTAGCTAAATTAAGAATCAAAATCGAAATAATTTTCTTTTGGTTGCGATATACAGGGTTGTTTAATGTTGTTTTAATTTTTAATAAATAAAAAATGGCAGTGCCTCGATGGGGTATCGAATCTTGAGAGTTCTACATATTATTGATTCAAGGAATAAACAATATGTTATTCATTTAGTTAGATCTTTCGGCGAATTTCATGAGCTGGTAAATTCTTAATTTTGTCAAACATTTGCAGAGAAATTAAGTAATCATAAGAATTTTAGAACATAAATTAGTTAAAATTAAAATCAAAATAAAATGAATTTGATTTACATGAAGCTGAGACTAAAACATACATCATATTTTTTACTCTAATCTTGAAGAAGACAGTAACGAAAATGATCAACAGTACCAGTCCAACGTCTAATTCCGTACCAAGAGTCCTCAGATGAAAACATTACGAAATTTCACGAGCTGCTAAGTGATGGGTACTTGAACAAGTTTAGTGCACGCCAGACGGGGTTGCGCAAGTGACGTGTAAGTTTGTGGGCGAATATAAATTTGGGCCTCTCAGTAGCGAGTAGCAAGTGTGTGCGTCTCGGCGCGTTGTTTGCATATAATTACAGGGCCTGCTTCTGGCTCTTTATTCTGTGTGTCGCGTGCGGTGGTCCAAGCCCTTCTTGATTACGATGTCGCCGTGATACGGACCGACGACTAATGTAGGTGTAAGCAGCAGGTAATTTGGCAATAAATTACGCGCCGCGTGACAGCACACGCAGCCGAAAACAACCGGCCGACGCTGCTAATCCATTTCGCTGGCCTAATGGACGGTATCGCGTTTCGCCCGAGTGCATAGTTGGATGGGAGGGATAATTTTTTTTCTCCGACTTTGCGAAACTCGCACCGCACTACAAATTTATTCTAATTACTCTTTGTGATTGATGAGGCGGCGCTGCAAAAACAAGCAAATGAGGAAACGCGTTTTGAATTTTTAAGTATTATGACGATGAGATTCTAAAATAAAGAAAAAGCAAGAAAAAAGCAAAGAGAAGAAATTGCCTTTTTCACTACCGAAATATTGATAAAAAAGGCAAACAAAAGCTTTTTTCAGGCCTGACCCTAAAGAAAGGTTTTGTTTTAGAAAAATTTAGTGGAATCATCAGGCAAGTTCCTTTTTATTTTATAACATTTTTAATTTTGGAATAAATTATGTTAAAAAAATGGATACTTGTAAATAAATTTGAAATGATTTTAAAGTTAATTCAAACATAATTAGTGATTTTTCCAAGCCTAATTATAAGCAGAGAAATTTAAAGAATAAAAATGCAAAACGTTTGTGAAAAGTTTTATGTAATGAAATAAAATAGAATTGTTAGATGTCAATTTAATTAATCCTCTTTTGACAGGTTTTAAATTTATTCATTAAAAAGCTCTTATTATTAATTTAAATTTTGCGGATCAAGCTCATTAAATTCAATTAACGCACCAAGTCTGGCACGTCCATCATCAATTTTGCGAGTTCTTAATTAGACAAACTTTGCACTCAAATTAATGAGTTGTTGCCCTGCACGGAAAAGTTTAGCCCCGAATGCCGGAGAAAAGAAACCCTCGACAACTTATTTTCTGCCCCTCTTGACTTCTTCCTTCTTTCGGGCGCAATAAAAAAGAGCGGCATGCACTCTACATATACTCGAACAAAACGAATTCCGCGCGCAAAATCTAATTACTTTTACAGCCCGCCGCCGGAGAAATCGCGCGTTTTGTTTTTCGGGTCGTAAAGCGCGGCGCAAAGCGGTCGAGAGAGAGCGGCCGCAACTTTTTAGATTAGGAAATTTCAAATTTAATTACAGCCACCGGCGGCTGAGGGCAATTTTACGCCGTTTGCGAATCCTTCTGTGCTGTTTGCTAACCTCGTGTGTTCCCAGCAGCGGGCGGCTCCAGCAGACAAACAAATCCGTCCGGTTTTTATTCTCATCTCCACTCACCTGAAACAAAAGGGAGAGAAAGAAACTTGGTTAGAGCGAATGAAACATGAAATTAACTGAAAAGCGCATCTAACTTTGAACAAAATGAAAGTATAAAAATATCATTGGAAATTATGGGGTTATATTAGGACATTTTTTAGCTAGTTTCCCTCCCATACTGCAAAGAAGTTGACTTTTATCTAAATTTAATAGTTCATGTTTGCTAAAAAAAAATCGATATAGAAATTTTTCAAATGATAACCAATTTTATAAGGCCTACTTTAGCACAATTTACTGTAAAACCATCAAGAATAACTGAAATAGATTATCGAATATATCATAATTTTTCAATTAAAATTATTATTATAGATATTGGACAATTGAAATGATCAGAGAAAGGACAGGACTTTCCAGTTTTCGTCAAAATATGTAATAAATATATTCATAATGTTCGAAATGTTAAATTATATAATAAATAGATAATTATATAAATAATAAATAATGAATTACATACATAATAATTAGATTTTATGTGCAATTTGAATTCAAAATTAAAATGGATTAAATTTAAAAAAATTTACAAAAATTGTAAAAGTAATTAAAAATATTAATTTTTATGATTGATGATTTTAATAATTCTTTTTACTTTATAAATATGGTTTAAAAACTAAATTAGACATTTACAAATTCAATTTATAGCACATACTAATAAGAGGAAGAAAATTAAACATTTTAAATTCTAGTGGCGTTTGCTATTTTAGCGTCCGAAAGTGCAAATATACGAACAAAACTCGCACGTAAATCTCTTTATCAGCGTGTGAGAGAAAAAGTGGTTTCACCGTTGTTAGAACTGAGAGTACGTGTGTTCGGCATAGCCATGCATTTATGTACTTTCGTGAGTACTGTGGTCGGCCAGTTCTTGAGCGGTCGATAGTCAAGTGGAGTGAGTATCGCACATTTCGACGGCGCGAGAGCGAAAGAGCAAAATCCATACAAGAGAAAGCGCACGCACAATCAGCAGAGCAAGAAAAAAAAATACACTCTGCCATCGGCCGCACCCGAGGGAGCTTCTGCCCAATTTATAGTTCACCTGCCGACTCTCACGCGACTTCCCGCCCCCACCTAGGACAGCACCACAGTCGATTTCCGCAATGCAAAAAAAAAATAACCTTTTGACTTTTGGCGGATTTTTTGCTTTTCTGTTTTGCTCGGAACTCCGTGACTTTTAAACTCAATCATTTTTATTTCAATGGGGAAACCCGACTTCAATGCTTTTAATCAAGCCTTTTGACGCGTTTTTGCACATTTTATTTTTTTGCCGTGCGCTGCTTTTCACTTTTCAAAACGACAGAAGCTACAGGGATTTTCAATCTAATTTATTTTCCAGCGAGCATTGTTTGTTCCACGTGGCGGGATAAAAAGGGAGACGGGTGCGCTGTCTGTGCCAAAATGAATTTGCAATCAAGAAGAGAGCTGCTGGGCAAAGTTGCTTTTTGAATGCATAATTTTTTTAAACAATTCATTCAGGTTGTCAGTTTATTTTTTGATAACAGTGGAAAATTGGCCTAAATTCTTTGTTGCGTTGTTATTAATATGAGTTTTTTTTTTTTTTTTGCTAATAAGGCTTGTTAAATTCTCAAATTTAAAATTTTCAGCGTTTCTTTGCTTAGTGATTTTTTGGAAAGACGCATTTTTTAATATTATGGTGATTATTTTATTTATATGAAAAAAAAAGAAATCTCACACCAACAAGTGAAATTTAATTTGAAGCTGAAAAAAAGAAAACAATAAAAAATAATTATTTCATTTGTTTTGGTTTTCAAAATTTTCTGGTAATAAGCGAGAAAATTGCATGAAGACAATTTCAAACTACAATTGAAGCTGAAAATATGTATAAACAAAAAGTTTGTATAAATGACAAACAAAAAGAAATATGACTTTTTAAAAACAAAACTATATTAGTCTTTTTAACTCCAAATCTATTTGGCCTTAAAAAAAGTACCATCCATCTGAATTATTAGAATCGCTGTTGGAAAACCGCAAACACTAGAGATAAATTCTAAACACGACGACACTTTTATGGTTGTTCCCATTTAAATTGAACGAGCTGGAAACTCACATTAAAAGTTAAAAATCTCATATTTTTCTGCGCTTAAATCTGGTGAGCCGCGATCAAAAGAGTGACTTACGGCCACCGAAAATTTCGACTCATGCGTGTCCAAGTTCAATGAAGAAAGAAAGCCGTCGTCGGAATTACGTCGGCCGCGATCAATATCGGCACAGACAGACTAACTAAGCGTCAGGAAGACTTTCATGCTTAAATTACGATTGTGCCTTTTGTAAAGTTGGTCGGCGGAAAGTTTCGAGAGGGAGCTCGGCAAAAGGTGCTTGTTTGAGTCACCTGATATTTCCTCCGTGAATCCGATTTCTTATACGGCGCGCGCAATAAAACGCACGAATGTGGAAAGTCCAGACGACGGAAAGGGGAATCAGAGAAGGCTTTGCCACTCTCGAGACTGCAAAACGCGTCCGGCGACAAACGAAATAAAATAATGCCTGGAAAATATATCCGGCGGTGTGTGTGCGAGGTTGTAAAAAATAAGCACAGCCTCGCCTGCTTCGTCTCCATTTTCGATTATGGAAAACGCAATTTACGAGGATTGCGTGTCAACTGCTTTTAAAGCTTCTTGTTCTTAACTTTGGCTGATTGATTTGAATTTAAGACAGGCTTTATCAGAGGATAAAATCGTGTCAGCTCTTGAAGCGCGGCGTGTCCCACAACAGTGAGCTGCAAGAATTTTAAGTTGCTGTGAAATAAAATTGCACAGGAAAATTTCAAACAGTAAATTTATTTAACAAAACTTGTAGAGAAATATTAAAAATTTTAAATAAAATAATTAAGCAGATGTAGAAAATTATAATTAAGGATGCTATTTAGATTACTCTAAATTTTTTTTATAGTCACAACAGAATGGTGAACATGAAGCTGTCAAATATTTTATTCCCATACAAAATATTATATATAGTTTAATTAGATAATTAATATATACGTGTTACTTAAAGAAAATTACAAGACAGTACAACTGCTAATCGTAAGCTCTTTCTCCTCATTTTCAAATTTAAAAATTTATTTGCATCAACCAAAGGGAATTATCATAGGGATTAATGTGACACTTGCATAATTAATTTATAACTTTCAATCATTGCAATTGGGTAAATTTTGATTATTATATAAAATTTGAGTCTCAAAATCATAGATTTACTAAGTCTGAAAGGGAGATTAAAATCAACGAATAAATATTTATTCTTCAGTTTAAGTTTAAAAGTATTTCATTGGTTAAAAATGTAATATATAAAAAAATAATAATATTATAGATAATAATATGATCAATTATTTTAAATCTATATACTTTTTAATAATTTTTTAAAATATTTAACACAATCATTCAAAACTAATCTCGTTCACCACACTCAATGTTTTATGTCAAATTGGTAACAAGCGACAGCAATTAATCGTGGATTGCGCCGCGTGTTTGTTTTCAAGCAGCGATCGTGTGTCACACCGCATGGCACGATTTATGGTTGCGACCGCTGTTCTCGCGCGAACCCAGCAATCCAAATCTTTACGACCCGGTATAACCCCAAAGTATAAGTTGTATGCATATAAAAATGCCCCGCCTCCTCCCAACCTACGCATGATTTTTTGATAAACACGCATGGTTTGCATTTTACTCGGCAGAAAAAAGTTAACATATTTTTTTTTTTGTGCAGCAAGAAATAAAAGTAAACTGTTCTCTCGTGCAGCGGTGACGGATTTTTTACAGTTGAATATAATTAGAGGTTGCCTTTTTTGTGCAATGGCGAAAATACATCTTTACGACTCTCTCTTGAGAAGTTCCGGTTGTAAACTTGCAAATACCTTCTGTTTTTTTCCTCGAGAAATCGCAGTAAAAGTTGATGGCTATCGAGAAACTTTTGACTTTCATTAAAAATAGCACATTGCAAAAAGTAAATAAAACTGGAGGTAAAAGTGACAGTCGTAAAGTTGGCAATCAGACCTCGACAAACACAAATTTTTCATATTGTATTTCATCGGAAAAGTTGGCCCATTGTGTCTGGCGTGAGTTGATATCTGGCTGGGCCTAATAGTGGCGAGCACGCGAGAACGCAGCGAATATAGAACGCGAAAACTGACTTTTATCGGGGCGGCTTTTATCCGCACACATCTGACGCCCTTTTGTTTATTAGACTTAATTAATCTGTTTTGGCAGCGCGACCAAAAGTAATGGTCGGTTCGTCACACGGTAAATATTCGACCTTGCTTTTGCTTTTGTCAACCGAGCTGGGAAGAGTCACGTACGCCTTTTCAATTTTTTTTCCTAGGAAATTCGTACGTGCTCGTCTCATGGCGCTGCACGATTACTTTTTTCCCGCAGTTTAAGGTTTATCCAGGTGCTTTGCGTAATAAAGCAATTTGTGATGCTGCGAGAAAATGGGTATTTCGAGGCGATTTGCCTTCCGCAAAGTGATTTCCGTTTACATGTGTAAAGCGTTTCGTACTGCTGCGTGGCTCAGGATTACGACGACTGTTTGCCGATGCGGCATAAATTCCATTTTCGTGTCGAATTTGCATGATTGCTATCAATTGTAACGAATTACATGCGATTATGTTGCAGCTGAGATAAAAAGAAAGCATTGAAGCATGATAGAATTTTGAATTATTGTAAATTTGTAAGAAACTTTATATTTAAATTAAAAAATTTTGACGTCATGGTAGAGAAAGATATAGACTAAAAACAATACAGAAATTTTGTCGGCAGTTTTTTTGAAAATATTATTATTATTGTTGTTGTTTATTTGTCCAAATTGTTACATCACAATGTTTATTCTTTTCATGTATTAACTTAAGTTTAATTTAGTAATTTTAATTATGATAATTTCATTGACATTATGACAAATTAGCTATTAGCTCATTTTTATGTTTCATTCCTCACAACAGCCATCCATAATGATTTAATTGG